CTAATAAAAGATATTTTCTATAAAACAGATGTTCAAAATATATTTTTAACAATAAGCAAGCAGTGCAAATGTTACACCTTGCCATGTTCTACCTATGGGGGAATCAGGTAACTCCTGCAAAAAATCCAGAATGTTGACAGCTACACAACTGCTTTGTGGCTCAGCCACAGACAAAAATAAAAGCCCACTGCATTCTGAGTTAGTGAGAGTTTTCACCTGCAGTAAAAGTTACTGGTTGAAATGAACATTAGATTGCAACGGCGGACCTGCAGCCTTGTGTGAACTGTTACTGAAGGCCCAGACACTCTGAGGTTCACGTCCAAACCTTTGGGTCCCACCTGCCCACCGTGGGCAGATCTGCTCACGACCCGCTCCAGCAACCCGGCCACGGCCGGCAGGGAAAGACGCCAGTCTTCTTTAAAACCGTAAATATCTTCATTTTAAAGTCCTTTTGCCTTTATAGGAAAATGTAAATTACTACCCTATCCCCCGTTTAAACACCTCAACTCATTCCTCAGGCACCGTCAGCGGGTGCAGGTTCACCCGAGCCTGGGGGTCCCTCCTGCACCCTGACGCCCCCCGGAGCCCGGGTCCCATTCCCGTTGCGGGGGGCAGGGGGCACCCCACCGACGTTGGGGAGCTGCTCCTGAGGGTTCAGCCCCTCGCCTTCATCGCGTGTGCCCCGGAGGGTAGGAGGTCCCGCAACCCTCGGGCTGGGACTTAGCTATTTGGAGCGAACTGGGCAGAAGTGCAACTTTTAAAGGAAATCAGAAATCCCGCGAGTGGACCCTCGGCCCGCACTCACCGTGGGCTGCCTGGACGCGGCCCGCCGTCCCCGTGTCCCTCACCGTCCCCGCGGCCCGAGCCCACCATCCGTCCAGCGTCCCCCCGCCGACCCCCGACCTATAATGTGTTGATATCTGAACGTTAGCTCCCCCTCCCTTGTTCTTGAAAATCATGTTAGTTATTCTTAGCCTTTTACTCTTTCACTTGAATTTTAGGATCAGCTTCCAAGTCTCCAAAAAATATGTCTGGAATTCTGATTACACTTGCATTACATTTATACATAAATTCAAAGACCACCTTTACAGTATTGAGTCTTCCTATCTATGAATAAGGTATAGCTTTTCTTTTACTTAGGCCTTCTTTTATATCTTTCTATAACATTTTGTAATTTCTTCCATAAAGATCTTACCTCTTTTAGATTTATTTCTAAGTATTTTGTAGTTTCTGTGAATACTTTAAATGGTGTTTTAAAAAAATTATTTGCTAATCATTTGTTTCTAGTATACAGGACCTGAATTATTCATTCATTCATTCATTTACTTATCTATCTATCTATCTATCTAATGTATTTAGAATCTCATGAATTCTTATTTACTAGTTATAATGGAAATTCGTTTGGATTTAATCTGTAGACAATCCTATCATTGGCAAAAAAAGAAAATTTAGTTTTTTCTTTTCCCATCCCTTTACTTTTTCTG